GAGCCCAGGAGTTTGAGGTTGCTGTCAGCTAGGCTGACGCCATGGCACTCTAGCCAGGGCAACAGAGCCAGATTCTGTCTCAAAAAAAAAAAGAACAATAAATTGGTTTTAGGATGGTTGAAACACACATACACCTTGAATTTCTAGCCTTAGAAGGCTTTTAACAATTTAGGAAATCATAAAACCATCACTTATTCCTGCCAACTTTCTAATTCTCCTAGTATCATCCAGACAGAGAAGACTCTCTCCAATCCAAATAAAACCCTTTCTTAACAGCCTTTTTTGCATCAGAATCAAACATCTTATACTCTTCAAAAACATAGCCTTGAAAGGAAAAATTCTATTAAATTCACTAAGCCCAAACCTAAGTGAACATGAAGACACATACAAAAAAGTCAAACACTCTGGTATCTGCACACAATTCCATATGTTTTTAGGTACATTTATGAACAGAATTTGTCTTAATCCAACTATTTCAATATTTGCCAAAGAAGCAGAGAACTGAGGGTGTGAGAAACAAACGTTAAAAAAAAAAAAAAAAGGAATTCAAAGCCATTTATTTTTACACCTTGACTTCACATACAAACATATGGTCAAGGAACTGCAAAGTCCACTGAAGCCTAATATTTGACTTTCTGGTGAAAACAAAAACATTTATACAATCTGTATTAACTGCTAGCCCTAGATCTGACAAAAACAAAAAACACCTACAAAAATATCAAACAGTTAACATCCAAAAAAGGTATTAGGACCATATGAAATAGGAGTAGAGACAGAAGAGGAACATCTATCAATAAGTAACAAAGAAATATTTCCTTGTTACTCCTAAACCAGTATGTCCGGCAGGTAATTCTATGAGATAGTGGCTGAATCAGATTTGGAATACAAACACATCTCTTTTAAGATTACCATGGCTTCTAACAGAGCAAACACCTGACTTGAGAAGTCTGCTTAAGGACCACTCACAACCATTCTTCTTCCTGGGTTGGGGAGGGGGAGCAGGTTTCAAATTAAGGAGCTACTGTATTAAAAAACTTGTAACTTCTACTTTATCCTTTTTCACGCTTAGAAAGCACCATGAATTGCTCTGACCCTATAATGTTTTTGCAGAAAAGGCAAAATTAACCTCTCAAGAAACTAAAAATAGATGTACATAAACAAAACTGCAGCTTATGAAGAAGATATTAGTGACTAGGTATTTCCTGAGCTGGAATGTAAAACGTGGAATCCTCTATTTAGCCAATTCAAAATGGTAAGGATGCAATCCCAGGCCTAAGCAAATGTCAAAATCTCAAGTAAAGCATCCAACATCTGGCAGCTTCTCCTATTCACAGTGTAGAGGCAACAGTTACCGTGGGACACCAGAAATTTCTAATGGAAGCTCTAGAACAGTTTCTGACTCATCCGCTCCCCTCCCAACATACACACATTTTCCCTCCTACACACAATCTGTTTCTTTTCTTGTGGGCTTCCTCAGCCCTCCCTCAATCTTCATTAGTTTTTAACTACTTTGAGCTCTATTACCTGGTTCCCTTCTCCAAGTTCCAATCTCCTGATACACCCTAAGCATTCTTCCAGTCCATCTTTTACTATGCAATATTCCCCTACAGCACTTACAGCCAGCCCCCACCTAGCTTTCTTTTACTCAGGCCTAATTCCCAATATCACTTTCCTCAATCTCTACCACAATTCAAGACTCCATTCCATCTTCTTCTCATCTGTTTTCAGAGTCTTTTTTTCCCCCTAGAGACAGGGTCTTGCTCTGTCGCCCAGGCTGGAGTGCAGTGACGCTAGCGCAGCTCATTGTAACCTGGACCTCCTGGAATCAAGCAATCCCCCCATCTCAGCCTCAAAAGTAGCTGGGACTACAGGGGCGCCACCATGTCTGGCTAAGTTTGTTGTTTTTTGTAAAGACGGGGTCTCCCTATGTTGCTCAGCTGGTCTGGAACTCCTGGCCTCAACTGATCCTCGCGCCTCGGCCTCCCCAAAGCGCTGGGATTACAGGCGAGAGCCCCCACGCCTGGCCTGTTTTTAGAGTCTTTTGAGCCTCATTTCCCACATTCTTCAGGATCTCTTCAAAACTTCCCATTCCTTGTCAGAGTTGGGTAGTCCAGAGATGGGAGTCACCAAAGGAGTTAGTTTGAGAAAGTATGTATGTGTGTCAGTGCACGCGCGTCTGGGGAGTGGGGTGCGAGGTGAGAAGGAATGACGCATTAGGGGGAGTCTCTAAGGAAAACGACGGCCTTTAACAACTCCCACTCCCCAATAAAATTCACGACTCCCTAACTCCCCAGGACCGAAAGCATCCCGTAACTCTTCAATACCTTTTAAGTCCCATGGCTTCTCATCAACATTTTAATCCAATTAACCCCCAATCGACTTGGATTCTACCTGCCTCTCACACCAAGTAGTTCCTCTCTACTTATCAGGCCTCCATTTACTTTAGTTTCTCTACTGCCTTCCGTTTCTCTTCTGTTTCCTTCCTACCCCACCTTCAATCTCCATCCCTCCTCCTCAAAGTCCACAACCACGTCTCCTCAAAGATAGCCAACGTTTTCGACATCTCCTCTTTTCTCAGTTAAACTCATCCTTTCCTCAGACTCCCCCTGCCCGTTCAGAAATCGCTGCCATTTGAAAGCCCGCCCCCTGTCCTCCTTACCGGCACCCCCTAGGACATTCCCAGCTACAAGCGCCCTTACAGGTCTCGCTCTTCCTCCCATCACACATTTCTCACCAGCCCCTTGCCCACGCTCCGCCCGGCTTACCTGAAGTCGAGGCACAGGAAGGGACCCCGGGCTCAGATGAAGACCCGACCGCCGACGGCGCAGGGGAGGCCGACGCCATCTTGGCAGCCCCCTCCCCCTCAGCGGCCTGGCTCCCTTTCAATCCGGCTCTTCCTCTTCTCGGAATCGAACCTTCCCCACGTCTTTTCACAGAACCGGCGTTCTGCGGACCACCTCCCCGCCCCCTCAGGGGCCTCCCTCAGACACGTCGAGCCGGCTCCTATAGACCAGCTCAGGGCCGCACCATTCGGCTGGCATGGGGGAAAACGCCCGTCTCGCCCCCCCTCCGAAACTTTAACCGCTCTCTGCAGTAGCTTCTTTCCCCTTTCACAAAGGAGTAAGCTCAAGCCGGCTTCTAGGACCCTGCATCCGGACGAAACCACACCTAAAGGAAAAACGAGGCATAAGAAGTACCGGAGGAGCAACCACCCCCTCCCCCTCCAATCTAGCCACAGCCTGTTTATCGCCCAACCCCTCCGCTCCACTCCGGGTGGCCAAGGAAATTCGGACACTGCGCATGCGCCCGACCGTCTTCTCAGGGTTTCCACCCCTTCAATGGAGGCGGGGGGGGAGAAGCAAAGCCAATCCGGAGGCCGCTGATGGTCACGTGAGGCGGGGGCCTTGAAGCCCTAACGAATCCACCGGTTGAAGATGTGCGCGCTCCAGTCCTGACAGCCTCTACGGTGGCTCGATAGGTTAGCTTCGATTCGGCTCTTTGGAAGGATTGTTGAGAGCTCTGAACTTGGCGTAAGAGGTGGCCGCGCCGGTCTTCTCAAATTCACAGCCCAGGGAAGAACTTCGGACAAAAGGACTGGAGTCAAGTCAGAGATGTTAAGCTGTCGAATATCACCAAACATCATATCCCACCAAGATCTCCTACCAGCCCTTTTCCGATTTTACTGCCATGTTTACTGTTCGGTTTAACGTGCGTGCATGTGTTGCCTTCCTCCTAAAGACATTCGAAATAGATCTATGTTTTGTTTGCCTTAAGCACAATGCTGGGCACAATGACGAAGTTCAGTAAATATTTTATAAATGCATAAATGAAGACCTACCAAAAAGGACCACGGGCTGGGACGCGGTGGCTCACGCCTGTAATCCTATCAGTTTGGGAGGCCCAGGCCTGAGGATTGCTTGAGGCCAGGAGTTCAAGACCAGCCTAAGCAAGAGTGAGATCCTGTCTCTATAAAAAAAAAAAAAGAAAAGAAAAATTAGCCGGGCGTAGTGGCGCTTGCCTGTAGTCCCAGCTAATCCCAGCTATTCGGGAGGCTGAGGTAGGAGGATCACTTGAGCCCAGGAGTTTGAGGTTACAGTGAGCTATGATGTCGCTGCTGCACTCCTGCACTCTGGCCAGGGCACCAGAATGAGATTCTGTCTTTAAAAAAAGCACCACAGAAGGCCATGAGGCCATATCACAACCTTCCCACCATCCAAGCCCTTCTACTGTCAATTATCTGTGCTCCAAGGGGCATGGAGATATGGAGATGCACAGAGAAATTTCTACCATTCTAGTCGTCATACTAATTCTCTTGGGTTTTAATCAAGTACCTTGTAGGTTGTGAATCCTAGTGGAGATCTGAAGACCTGTCTCTGAACAGACTGTAAGCTTCTGGAGAGTAAGGACTATATTAGTTCACTCTTGTTATCTCCAGCTCCTCCCATGACTTTGTGCATAGTAGGGGCTCAATTTGTGGAATGAATAAATAAAGAGGAATGGAAAAAATCCTAGGTTTTGCAACCTCCAAGATGTCATGGTTATCTTCTTTCCAAATATCTGCTCGGTCCTCAGAACGTAGGACCCAAACGTCCATAGACTGTCCCCACATAATTGCCTCAGCCTTCTACCCCTCCCTCATCAAGATCGGAAATAATTGTTTCCCTGCTGCCACCTGCTGGATTATTCATCCTTCTTTGGGCACTGAAGGTAGACAAACTTCAAATGATTAGACTGCCATTTGTAATTCCTCAGCAGTGGAATTGTGTAGTGTTGAAGTATTTTATGATTGCCTGTACCTATACCCCACCCAACTAAAGAGGATAGGAATTAGTGTGGGGCACACTGCTCAGCACCAGATTTGGCTCATAGGTGTTCAAAAAATAAATATTTGTTGAATAAATAAATTATCCTTGTTTCTAGAAAAGGCATTGGGTTGCTACCATTTCCTGAGTTACTTCAGAAAATCAGCTTGTGTTGCTGGGTGCTGTGTTTTGTGCCTGTAATCCAAGCGATTAGGCTGAGGTGAGAGGATTGCTTGAGCCCAGGAGTTGCGGGCTGTAGTGCCCAGTAGGTGTCTGCACTAAGTTTGGCATCAATATAGTGATCTCCTCTGAGGGATGCTGGTGGTGGTGATGGACCAACAGGCTGCTGAGGGAAGGGTGAACTGGCCCAGGTCGGAAACAAAGCAGGTCAAAACTCTTCCTGCTGATCAGTAATGGGATCACACCTGTGAATAAGCACTGCACTCTAGACTGGGCACCATAGCAAAAATCTGTCTATACAGGCCGGGCGCGGTGGTTCACGCCTGTAATCTTAGCACTCTGGGAGGCCGAGGCAGGCGGATTGTTTGAGCTCAGGAGTTCGAAACCAGCCTGAGCAAAAGCGAGACCCCGTCTCTACTAAAAATAGAAAGAAATTAATTGGACAACTAAAAATATATAGAAAAAAAATTAGCTGGGCATGGTGGTGCATTCCTGTAGTCCCAGCTACTCAGGAGGCTGAGGCAGAAGGATTGCTTGAGCCCAGGAGTTTGAGGTTGCTGTGAGCTAGGCTGACACCATGGCACTCTAGCCCGGGCAACGCAGTGAGACTCTGTCTCAAAAAAATTAAAAAAAAAAATCTGTCTATACAAAATTTTTTTTTAAATTATCTGGATGTGGTGGCACATGGCTATAGTCCTAGCTACTGGGAGGCTGAGGTGGGAGGATTTCTTGAGCTCCAGAGGTCAAGGCTACAGTGAGTTATGATTGTGCCACTGCACTCCAGTCCGGGCAACAGAGCAAGACTCTGTCTCTAAATAATAAAAATAATAAAACAAAATAAATTGATTTAATTTAAAAAATTTTAAAAATAAGTCAGCTGGGTCAGAGGTAAAGGTGTTTCTGATTCAAAAATTAGAAATAGACAAATAAATCCCTGAGTGACCAAGACAGTCAAACAGGGGAATCTTCTCTGTGGAAGCTGATCTATGAATTTGATTTCAGCCCTCCTAAAAGAAGAAATCCCTGTTATGTAGCTTCTTCGGGGTGTTTGTTCCTCCTTTGTGTATCAGAAAATGACTACTATTACACCTACTGCCTTGTATTATGTCAGTCTTTTTACCTGTTTGTCTCCCTCTTAAGACTGAACTCCTCAGGGCAAAGATTACAGCTTATCCACTTTTCTATCCCAAGCATCTAGAATAGTGCCTAGCACAGAGGAGATGCCCAATACGTGGCTCTTGAATATGTGAATGGAAGAAGGCAAAATTCAAAAAGTGGAGCTTGGGGTATTTAAGAAGCTGGTGTCTCCTATCTTTTCCCCCTAAACCTTGTCTCTGTCTTCACTCCCGCTCAATCCCTTGGGTGCCCTCTGAGTCATGAAGCCACTCTTCCCCAGTAACATTCCAAGCATAGCAGAACTGGGGTGACGTGGCAGGATGTGGAAGCAGGGGTTGGCTTGGTTCCCCAAAGGAAATGGAAAAGGGAGTTCACCAATACATACTTTCGGGAAGGGAGGCAATCTGGTGACCTCAAAACAGGGCCATGCATACAGACTTGAGTGCATTTGAGCATGCACAAATACCTTTATTAAAGCATCCTTCATGTTTTAGAACAGTACCTAAGGTCATAATGAAGGGGCTGAGGACTAGCAAGAGCAATGCAGAGGCAAGAATAAGAGGATGGGTACCTTACTCATTCAATTAGTCATTCATTCAATCAGTTAACATTATTTAGCCCCAGCTATGTCTCAGGCACTAAGAGAGTTCCTGGTATACACAGAATGAAGATAAAGCCCCTGCCCTCAAAAAGATCACAGACTAATGAGGGGAATAGACACATAAATCATTAGAATAAAATGTAATAGGTGCCATCATAGAGTTTGTATAACGGCTATGGTTTGATAACTATATTTTCAGAATAAAAAATGGGAACAGGATCTTGACAGTACAGCAGACTATTTGGTATTGGAACTATTCCAGAGAATCTAGAAGGCATGATCTCTATGATTATGAGAACTGTGCCTGGAAAGAGAGGAATAGATGTTCGGAAAGACTTCACTGTCCTGGAAAATTAGAATTTTGCCAAATAGACAAGAAAGGAAAGGAATTCTAAGGAGAAGGAAAAGCATGGAGGCATGACAGAGAATTGGGTGTTGGGAGAGTGATGCTGGAACAGAATGATGGGGCCGGCAGGAGGTGAGGCTAGAAAGACAGAGAGAGGCTAAATTATGAAAGATCTTGAATGTCATGTTACTAGTAATCACCTATTAAACGTTTACTATGTGCTTAATAAACACTGTGCTGGCCGGGCGCGGTGGCTCACGCCTGTAATCCCAGCACTCTGGGAGGCCGAGGCGGGAGGATTGCTTGAGTTCAGGAGTTTGAGGTTGCTGTGAGCTAGGCTGACGCCACGGCACTCACTCTAGCCCGGGCAACGAAAGCAAGACTCTGTCTCGAAAAAATAAATAAATAAATAAACACTGTGCCAAGCAGTTTACTAGGATTATATCTCTTAATCTTCTCAACAATCTTAAATAAAAGATAGGTATTATTATTAGTGCCACTGTACGGATGATAAAACTGAGATTCAGAGAAGTAAAGGAACTTGTCCAAGGTAACATAGCTAAAAGACCTTGAGGTTCACGCTCAAATTCAGGTCTGGCTGGCTTTAAGGCTGTGTTCTTTTTTTTTTCAACTTGTTATCTATCTATCTATCTATTTATTTATTTATTTATAGACAAGGTCTCGCTCTGTTGCCTGAGCTAGAGTGCAGTGGCATCAGCATAGCTCACTGCAACCTCAAACTCCTGGGCTCAAGCGATCCTCCAGCCTCAGCCTCCCGAGTAGCTGGCATACACCACCACACCTGGCTAATTTTTTTTTTCTTTGAGACAGGGTCTCAATCTGGCGTCCAGGCTGGTCTGGAACTCCTGGCCTCAAGTGATCCTCCCTGCCTCGTACTCCCAAAGTACTGGGATTACAGGCATGAGCTGCGTGTTCCTGGCTTATTTCACTTAACATAATGTCCTGCAGTTCCATTCATGTTGCAGCAAATGACAGAATTTCATTCTTTTTTATGGCTGAATAGTATCCCATTGTATATATATAACACATTTTTAAATCCATTCATCTGTTAGTGGACACCTAGGTTGATTCCATATCTTGGCTATTGTGAACAGCACTGCAATAAACAGGGGGGTACATACATCTCTTCCATGTTATGATTTCCTTTCCTTTGGATAAATGTCCAAGGCTGTGTTCTTAACCACAGTACTATGCTTTCTGCCTCGAGGATTTGGGACTTT